TGTTCGTCAGTCTTCGTTTTTGAGTCACGAGCTTCGGATATTGCAGCCGTTGTTTTGCCGTGTTCTCTACTGGACGGTGTGCATACCCTCGCCCGAGCTCTTCCGCATCGGTGAGCAGTCCCACCGGCTTCGTATTCCAGGCAACGTTGTTCGTCGTGTCTTTGGTCGCTGCCCCTTTTCAAGCAATAGTTTTTGAACTAATTAAATATTCACTTGTTTGATTAGTTTGTTGACTGGCTTGAGCACGTGCTCTCGTTAGCTTCTCTCTGTACTTGTTTTGGCCCAACATCCAGGAGGCAGGCAGCACCTCCTGGTGGCTGCTCATTCTTCAACTCCGAACTGTTGTTGCTTGCCAGTTTGGCCTGAGTGCCCAGTCTGTTTCATCTCTGCAGGAGAGCCAGTCCCCAGCGCTCGGTGGTGTGCAGCCCAGCCATCGGCGAATTTCCAGCTGATTTTTTGGTGTAATTTTTCAGGCCTTGATTTCTCATTTTGAGTGCAGTTTGGTCATCTGAGCTCCAAATCGGATTTCATCTGTTGCGTTGGTATTGTACCGTTCCAAAGAATTGATCTAAGTACTCTTGTTACCAGTTGGCTTGGGTATTTTAGTTTCGCCAGCCCGCTTGTGTTTGGGGGTAACTTTGGGACAGCGGCCAAATATTTTGCAAGAAATTTGAGACTCTAAGAGGGAGGTCTTCTCCTCTTCTTTGCAGGAGCTACCAGGAGAGGCCAAGAAGAGCAATAGCACAAGACCAACACCAAGTAAAGGTATGTGTAGCATTTCTGATTTTCTGTTGTTGTATGAATACTGGAGTGGCTGCATGGTCTTTTGCATGAAACAGGGTAGGACCTTGCAAAGACATCGTGCTATATAAAGCAGCAGCAACAGAATCTTGACAAGGTTGCAAGGATATTGATCCCATATTGCTTTTGCACCTCGTTTTCCAATTTTCCAATGTTTTTTCCCCTGGAATGTGAACCGTACCGATTCACCAAAAATATATTGTATAATCGTAGTGACATGTCGACTGAATTAATTGGAATATGGATGCACCCCTGTTGAGAGATTTGGGAAGAAAATGAGTACAAGGTAGCCCTGTAGCTCCCATGCTGATGGTAAGGGGAACCATGGTGCTTGAGTGGATGTATGACATACAGGTGTGTTCTTCTAAACTTTGCAAATGTTGCTTTTTATCTGAAGCTTATTATTCAACACAGGATACAAGTTGGTAACAAGTATCTTTAAAAGGCGCCAGCCCTATGCTGGCAAGTGCACTCCAGGTGATGAGGGATGACCATTCTAACAGTAGGATCACCAAGTGGAGCTTAGTGTGCACACACCTATCCTGATCTGATCTGATCTGCTTTTGAAAAAGAGGATATTCGTTCACGATCCACGTGAACGCATCTTCTGTCCCCGACGTGTTTCATCTCTGACCTATTGATCAAGATGGGTTCGGCCTTCGTTTCTCCACCCCTGTGCAGCAAGGCTCACTACACGCTGGCCATGTATTCTTCTCGCGAGTGTCGTGTGGATATGGCATCCGGTCCTGTCACCTGTGAGTTTGAGTGGCCAATTGGTTCACTGAAAACTTTGTATCTGCCCACTGACCCACGGATAGGATATACTTCAGTAGCTGAATTGGCCACTGGGGATCATATGCCAAAGGAAGAGAAAATGACTTGTCCAATTGGTACAGCGAGCTTTGATTCTTTTCTTCTTCCTCTTCCTCCTCTTCTTTGAGAATCTTCTGTTGATTCCTGTTACTTTTCCTTTTTGCATATCATGGAGAATTGGTTCCCACTAGTTATCCATCACATGCTTTTAGCTTTTGGAGTCATGGTGGAAGGAATGGAGGATGAGAAAATATCCTTGAGCTGACATTCCTTGATATTGAGCTCGTTTCAGACATGCACAATACGCAAAGTCGCAAATACTAAACGGTCGATAAATTTACGTCCTTTGGCTGCCACAAGATCTAGGCCCGCATTCTTCTCCAGTCCAAAAAAAAGTAGCATTTAGATTTTGCACAATTAACATATTAAAACTTTGGTTGTCGATATCCTTTAGAAAAATTGAACTTTGAAAACAATATCTCTAGATTTGTCTTGAAAAGTATTTTGAAAACATTAAAATTTGGCAAAATTTGCTGAGGGGCATTCTAAAAAGGTGGCTATTGCTAGCGAACACAAAAAAGTCAAATTCACGGTGGTTAGTTTCTTGAGGGATACCACACCTATTAAAATATAATATTTTGCCCAGTAGGAGAGTTAGGTAGTCATGTTTGGAAGAGAAAAGGTAAATACTATTCTGGAAGGCATATAACTTTGAGACTGAGTTGGTTGGCTGAAGGATAATAAGGTCAAGATTTGATGGAGACCCAGTCTTCTATACCCAGCTGACAATACAGAGATGGCATCTTCTAGACCTGAAACAATTATCTGTGCTGCATTTTTATTTGCTCTGAAATATGGAAGATGCTAGGTCTGTAACCTTTTCCCTAATGCTGGCAGTAGCTATGTAATGAAGTCATCATTGACATATATATACTTGTTGGTTTTTATGCAGGTGAAACTTGCAAAGTACTAGTAACCACCAAATTCCATTGTGACAGGGGTGTTCCCTCTTGTGATCTAAAAAGGAGCATGACCTGCTCACTTGTTTGCAAGGTAATTATCATTGAGAACACTTGTCCTGATAAAGAAAATGTATTCTTTGCCCATAGCGCATAGGCCATAGGAACTTACTGTGATATGAAATGGGCAACCATCGAATAAGAGAAGTTGAGAGACTACAAGAGGTTTTTGTTGCTATCCTTGCTGAGAAATCACTAGGGGACAACTCTGCTATTGGCTATGTAAATATTACATTGCAGCAAAAATAAATGTGATAAACTTACGTTACATATAACTACACATTGTTTATTGTTGACTGATATGGTGTAGATGGTACTAGTTTGGCATTCCTTGTTATTTTTTCATTTCCTCAGCTTCCAGAGTTCTAGTAATTTCATTTTCAATCTATTTAGGTTCAGAGATCAAAGGGAGGAGCAGGTGCAGCTCACTGGGGACACATGAGAGAAGAGAGCAGCAGGGGCCTGGCTGGACGCCAATCCAGACTCCAGAGTTTGGTACCTTGTCTGAAATAATGCAGTAGAGCTCTGTTCTCTACCCATATCGTAGTGTCAAGAACATGATCCTCTCCCATATTCTTGCTATCTACCCATACTTTGAGGAGAGCCATAACGACACAGGAGCCGTGGAAGGAGTAGGGAGCTCTAGGAATTTCTGGAGCGAAGGCCTTATTTGCAGTTGCAAGGTCCTGTGCTGCATGTGCATATCTGTAACCTGAAGAAAAGATGTTGGAAAATTTCTTGTTTTTGGGTGAATTCAGTTCTTGTAATAGTGTCGAACTTCAGATGGAACCTAGAAACAGGTCCTGTACTAAACACTTTTGACAAGTGCTCCAGAAAACAATGACATGGCATACCCTGATAATTCTCCGCCCAAAGGAAAAGAGAGAAAACTCTTGGTGAATCGTCTTGTGTTAACTCCAACTCAAATGAAGAGTCCAACGAATGGCAGATCTATTCATGGCTTCTTTACAAAAGGAAACTGATCAGAGATTCTTTTATTTTTCTTTTAATTTTTTTTGATACAGCTGCACTTGACAGTTGAAACACAGTATAAATTTTTTTTGGCAAAAAAAAAGAGAGTACTACCTCTTTCCCCAAAAGGATGCAACTATGGGTTGCGTGCCAGTTAGAGTGCTTCATGTTTGACCAAGTTTCTAGTAAATAGTATTCACATTTATAGTTTCAAATTAATTTATTATGAAAATACATTTCGTAATTTATCTAATGGTATTTATTTGATATTATAAATATTTATATTTTTTTATTTATAATTGGTCAAACTTAATATACTAAAATATGACACTGTTCCAGAATGACATTCTTTCGAAGAAGGTTGGAGTATCTATCTTTTTTTTTTTTAAACTGATGGAGTATCTATCAGTGTGACAGTGTTGTTCAAGTGTTCAACGTGTTTTACCTGAAATCTTCTTGGGCCTCACTTTCTCAGCCCACAAGTTCAGCCTTTAACGGTCGGGCTCACACTATTCTGCACCATAGCGGCCCAGCCCATGTCCAAGCCTAAAACGAACCGCAAACCAGGCAACCAGGCGGCGACCAGGCGTGCGCAGCGGCGGCGGCCGCGGCCGCGGCGGACAGCTACCGGAGTGGGTCAGCAGCTCCAGCGAGGTACATCCTACAACCTGTATGGGTGGCTGCAAAAATGGGGACGCGTAACCATCTAGCGAGCGTATGGGTGGCTGCAAAAAGTTGGTGGGATGTTCTAATGAAATATCCGATTCAGCAAAATTCAGTTGCTGTCTCTTGAGGTACTGGATACCTAATGTCCTGCCAATCCGTGTGCAGGAAAGGGCTCATTTTGTTTGTGAAGGATTTCTGTTACTTGCTGCGTGGAAAGATTGCTCGAAGAATTACGCTAGTAATCCACCAATGTTTGGATACAGTGTTGCTTGGTTTGTGTTTGAAGATGAAATCACGAGATTAAAGTTTCACAGGTCCCCAACAAGATTGAAGCACTGATGTATTCAGATTGATTTAGTTAAAAATTGTCATACATGTGTTACATCTTGGAATCCCTTCCCGGTTACATATTTTCTGGTAATCTGAATGTATGAGCTAAATATATGGTTTCAATTTCACAACTAGAGCAAGCCTTGTAGACTGGATCTGTCTGAAAACCTGAATTACTTACGAAAATCATCATAAGCCAGCATGTGTACTGAGGTAGCACTAGCCAAAAAACTTTGATAATACTGTCTGATCATACAGCACCCCTACACAAAAGAATGCACCAAAAGCGATTGCAAAGATGACCTTCTGGACCTTGTCTTCAGTTTGTTTTGTGGAGAGAAGTGTTTCTGCAGAGCCACAATGGCGGGCAAGCATGGGACCACACAACTTTGGGTTACCCTAGAAGCTAGAACTTGGGAATGTGCTGAGCTGGCCGGTGGTTGGGATAGGCCCTTCGAGGTCGTTGTTGGAGACATTGAACTTAGAAAGGAAATGCAGATTGTTTAGTGCCGTCGGGATTGCACCTGTTAGATGGTTGCTAGACAAGTCCAGTGACTCGAGGTTTGTGAGGTTGCAGATCGACTGCGGGATTGGTCCAGTGAAGTCGTTGTAGCTCAAATAGAGTGTAAGGAGCGCCTTTAACTGACCAATCTCTTCAGGGATCACACCGCTGAAGTTGTTCATGCCCAAATTCAGCGTTGTTGAGAAAGAAATGGGCATACGGAATTGCCGTTGCTGGCTCTTATAAACAGGCAGCTCGAAGGCCTTTGGTTCGACCTTATCTGCTTTTAGCATTGGCATATCCACTAAGGCTGTTGGAATTTCCCCAACAAGACTGTTGTTTGATAGATTTATATGGAATAGGAACTTTAGGCTGTTGATCCAGTCTGGTACGGATCCAGTTAGCTGATTTCCATACAGAAGTAAAACTTCCAGATTTGTGAGTTTCGATAACCAAAAAGGTATTTTTCCTGATAATGAGCAGTGATTTAAAGCAAGGACCTGAAGCTTCTGAAAGCCATCAATTCTATCATCCTCTGGCATGGCCTCGTTCAAGAAGTTGTGCCCAATAAACAAGGTGGTCAGGCTGCTGCAACTCCCTAGGATCTGAAGTGCACCTGTGATATTTGAAATGGAGTTGTTAACAAGTGACAGAAATGTGAGGGACTTCAGATTGCCAATTCTTTCTGACAACTGGCCATGGAACTTATTTGAAGATAGCCGCAGTGCTGTTAGTTTGCTGCATGTATATATGCTTTCTGGGATTGTGCCAGTGAAGTTGTTCCGCAAAAGATCCAAGGTTTTTAATTTGGGTAGCTTGGAGAAATTGACATTGCTGAGTTGTCCACTGAAACTGTTATTCTTTAGGTCCATGATCACGAGACTTGTGCACTTGCTTAGAGTAGATGGGAGCTCACCAGACATGCTATTGTCGTCCAGATGGAGCTCCTCTAATCTCTTGAGTTTGCCTATGGACTCTGGGATGTTACCACTGAAACTATTCCCTCCAAGATCAAAGGCCACCAGATTTTTGAGCTTGCTGACGCCATTGATCGATCCTTCTAGCTGATTATTAGGAAAAGAGAAGTGCTCCAGCAAGGTAAGAGTGAATAGTTCATCAGGAAGAGTACCAGTTAGGTCGTTGTTCCCAGCACTGAGAGATGTCAGCATGGAGCAATTACCGAGACCTTGAGGGATTCTTCCACTGAATTGGTTGTAGCTGAGATGAAGCGAAGCAAAGGATGATGGCACGCTGACACATAAGCTAGCTGGTATCTGGCCACTAAAGCTGTTGTTGCTAGCATTGAGCGCAACCAGACTCTTCGTCGCCTCCCAGGTGGTGGATGGAAACACTCCTGTAAACAAGTTGCTGGAGATGTTCAGTACCTGCAGAGGCCGGAAGGTTGGAGACTGCAGATCCTGCAAGTCCCCGCTGAGCTTGTTGAAGCTGACATCAAGGACAACGATGCTGCCGGAGGACAAGAGATTCACCGGTAGGCCTCCAGACAGCAAGTTGTTTGACAGGTTCAAGCTCACAAGGCCGGTGAGGTTGCCGAGAGACAGTGAGATGTGCCCCTGAAGTCCTCTGGACGGCAGGAAAACACCAGTCACCGTCTGATGATTTGAACTGCAGGCGATACCTTCCCATCTGCAACAATCTGTGTCGCTCTTCCACGAACCGGTGAGGCCACTGTCATGGGAGAGCTCAGCGACGAACTGGAGCAAGGAGGCCTTCTCCTGCTCGCTGCATGATTTTGCAAGAGAGGCCAATGAGAGAATGATCACAAGTGCAGGACCAAATAATGGCGTGGCTAACCGACTGGTTCTGCTGTTGCATGGAGAATGGGGCAGTGGCTTCATGATTCTCTCGTTTTTTTAGGGCTACAAATCTTGAGCAATAAATGTATGTATTCAGAGTTCAGAGAAGGTTGCTCTTTATGAAGTAATCAGAGTATTCAACGTGTGAGAGCTGGCAAGCCGCTTCAGAATCTGTCTACTTCACGGCCTGTGATATCTTCCTAACAAGTCTATGGCTGTTGAGACTGGATCGATCAACCTTGGTCAGAAGAAGCTAGACTTGTTGGCCGATATCGTGGACCTGTCGGTTAGTATTCGAGAATGACAAATGCGTATGTTTGCCTCGGTTGCAGTGCCTGCACAGAAAGCTAACCCATGATCATGTCTGCATCCGGATACCAGTACGGCAGTAGGTACCTGCACAGAAATATTATATGGATCGGTCAAATTTCCATTTTATTTGGAACTTTGCTACTGACTACTGTTTCAAAAGAAAGTTCTGCAGAAAAAAAAATGTATTCTGGGATCACAGAATTTTGGGCAATAGTTTAACCCTGAAGAACAGCGCTGGCTGGGTGAGGGATTTTTTTTAACGTAATTGGGTGAGGGATAATGAGGTCAATGGTTCTTTAGTGGAGAACAAACACAGTTTTTTGACCTGATCCGTTTATTGTTGGTTCCTAGCTGCCCTGCACAGTTAAATAACTAGCTTACCAGCACACACTCACTCACTATGGTTAGAGGTAGAAAAAGAGATTGAGAACAGCGCGCACACACTCAGCATAAGCACCAGCATTGACTGAAGCCCTGCCCTTTGGTTTGTGGCAACTGAACTGATTTGCTGTATTGTCTTTGGATAGAATATATATAACTCTAGCTGTACCTTTACAAGATACATAGTTGTTGGTGAGTACACCAAACTACCTACTACCGGAGTACAAGAGTATACCAACTACATACTCCTAAAGTATAAGGGTACATCAACTATCTACTCCTACGGTACAAAGCTTAGCTCAGCCATCTACACTCTTCAGGGCTGAAGTAAACCACCACTACTATGGCCTACTGCCTTACTGCTACAGCTACAGGAACTGATCAGCAGAGCCGATCAATCTCCATGTCCCAATAGGGAGTGGTCGGCCGAGCCGACCATTCTCCAACAATGAAGAAACAGGAGCAACAGATTCTGTCTTACATTTACTTACATTTACTTCCTGTTCTTTTCAGTGGCAGTTGCATTTTGGCCCTGTTTAGTTTCCAAAAATTTTCAATCCAAAATGTCACATCGAATCTTGCGGCACATGCATGGAGCATTAAATATAGACAAAAAAAAAATAATTGCACAGTTTGGTTGGAAATCGCGAGACGAATCTTTTAAGCCTAATTAGTCCATGAAAAGCCTTAAGTGCTACAATTAAGGATGAAAACGGAACGGAAATATCCCGAACCGAACCGCATCGTTTTCTATATTTAATCCGATCGAATCCGTATTTTCTTGTCCGACTTTACCGTTTTCGCTTTCGCATTTTAGATGTTTCGTATTTCAAATGTAAAAGTAGAAAACGGTTTAGACATTTTTCGACCGTTTTCTACTTTTCTACTTTTAATTTGAAATATTCCGAATTCAAAATTCGGTTTAAACCGAATTTAGCCAACTGCACAGGTCATACAACCCAATTACAGGCTGTTCACCACGCAGCTACGTTCTTTCTACTGGTGACCAGCTGCCCTCTCTTATAAACGGCGCCCAGCCTCATCTATACGAATGCCCACCTGGGCCATAGCCCATCAAGCTCATCGGTTTAACCCCCACCTGCGAAGTCAATCATTTGATAGTTTTTGCCTTAGCCGAATAAATCTTTATTACTCATAAGAAAAATCTGAATAAATCTTTAAAATAAAATATACATCTATTTCAAAAAATTAATAAAATTATCCTGACTCAGTTCGAGTTCATGTTTCTATAACATCTAATTTTAGTTCAGATTCTAAAATGGTATGCTAGTTGCTACATCTAATTTTAATTCCTATTATCCTGCTAGCTACTAATTGCTTGTTCTAGACTTATATTTATGTGTCGGCTATTGTGTTAAATACCTAAGACCAAGGATCATGCACTTGTTAATTATTATATGCGCTTGAACTTGATCATGTATGTACTTAGTCATGCACTTGGTCCTATAGGTCGGTATTCCGTATTGAGTTTTCGTATATCGACCGTGTTCGACATAAATCCGCTCGAATTGGTTCGTTTTCGGAATTCTCGATATTTCGTAAGTTCGCGTTCGTTTTCGTGTTCGGCTTTATCGTTTTCGCTTTCGTTTTCGTATTTCAAATGTAAAAGTAGAAAACAATTTAGGAGTTTTCGACCGTTTCCGACCGTTTTCATCCTTAGCTACAATAACCCATATGTGCTAATGACCGATTAATTAGTATCATTAGATTCGTCTCGCAGTTTCCTGATGGGTTCTGTAATTTAGTTTTTTTATTAGTATTAAAAACTCCTCCCGATATCCTTCCGACACATCCGATATGACATCAAAAAATTTCAAACTCAGCAACTAAACACTCCCTTTGTTTGCCCTACAGCTGGTGCCGACTTCGGTGTCGCTCGTTCACAGGCCACTTATCTTGATTCTAGTGTAGTTGCTAGCTTCGATAAAAGCAGTGGGTAGGTCGGAGAGTCAAGATAGTCGGCGGGCTACTTGACTACATGGTGATGAGCACTCAGCATTTAGGGGTCTACGATAGATTGATATGGAACTTCTCTCTTAAATTCTAAGTCGTTCTTTTCTAATACATATCTTTTCCTACACTTCTATATTTTAGTTGTCTGAATTTTACAATGATTTCAGACAACACTTTGTACTACCAATTAATACAAGTAAATTATCACTTTTGTGATTTGTTATTTGTTTTTATGTCATAACATATCAAATTTTTATCCTCGTCTGACTATAGAAATAATTGTAAATTGTTAAATTGTTTTGTGCCAACACATATAAGATTTTGTCAAGTTTGTGGTTTTGGCTAGGTTTTTCATTTTCGGAACAAAAAATTGCAGATTGTGTCAATAGAAATTGCAGCGAGCTAAACTGCAATTTTAGTATAAAAATATATGCAATAACCGTCGCCTGACAGAAAACTAAAATCCAGGCACCTGAAATTTAGCAAATCCCCCCTTTTTATGTATTTAGAGTTCTACGCTAATACTATATTTCTAGTTACTTAGCAAAATCTATGTACCTGAAAAGTTAAAACAACTTACAATTTGGAATGGATGAAGTATCGTACATGCTAGACACATATAGGCCCAAACCCTATTAGAATATATAGGATAAACAAAGGAAACCCTAAGCAGCATGAGATGTGTAGGTGTGTCGCACTCTCCATATAGTCAGAATGGAAGTTGATGTTCTGACTGGAACGAAACTATATGAAAATAGGAATAGGTACTCCCTCCGTCCCAAATTATAAGTCACTCCAACTTTCTTGAAGAGTCAAAACATCTCAAGTTTGACCAAACTTATATAATAAAATAATAACATTTATGATACCAAATATGTATAATTAGATTCTTCATTAATTATATTTTTATAGTATATCTATTCGATTGATATGCTTTGACTCTTCAAGAAAGTTGAAAAGACTTATAATTTAGAGCGAAGTGATAGTTTCTTGGTGAGTTTTCTTTTGACAAAAGATATTGATAACAAGGCAATTAGATCAAGGCGATAAATTCATCTTGAGACTACTCCCAGCCTCTGCATATATAGCTAAAAAAATACATAGCCTATAAAGTTTTTAACATTCATAACAAATACGCTAATTACTATCGACCATAGACTAGATCGTCATATACGTGGCTGGGTAAAAAGAACCAAACCAATGATTTCGGCTTCTAAAGGATAGCTTAATTAGAACGGAGCCCATATTGATAACTAGATAAACTCAAAAGAGATAAAATCTCCTTGTCAAAACTCATATTTTTCTTGCATAGCAATAGTGATCAACATGTAGCATCTGTCCCAAAGATTTCGTGTAGCCAACTAACTCTTGGGCATAATTTGGGAGCAAGAGAAAGACAAACCTAAAGATAGAAAGCCCCCATGTGTACTATGTTCGAATGGTAGAGGCTGGGACCTCTTTCATTCCCTTAATGAAATATTTCTCTTTTTCTAAAAAAAATTGCATTCATATGGATTATTGGTCCTAGGAAAAGTCGGGGATCCCGAGGCTACCTGAGTTTACAGATTAACCCTTTAGCGGGAATTCGCAAGCCGCTTCAAAATTTGTGTAATGCACGGGCTGTACTATCTTTCTGACAAAGTCAACCTATGGGCGTAGAGACTTCACCGAGCCCATATTGATAGATCATGTCCCTGATGCATATGAATTTTATACTGCCAAATTCAGTTTCCTGTCGGCCTGAACATTTTTTTCCTGTCGGTTGAATGTCAGGAATGGTTAAGACATTTCCTGTTGGTTGCTATTTCCTGTCGAGAATTCCTGACGGTTGTACAGTAAGGTTTCTGGGTTGACTGGTCAAACCAGAACCGTCAGGAAATATATCCTGTCGGCTAGCCGTCAGGAAACAGTCATCTTTCCTGTCAGTTGATTCCTGACGGTCGGCCGTCAGGAATTGGATTCCTGACAGTTTTTTGGCTTTTCCTGACGGTTTTAGGCTGTCAGGAATTTCCTGCTCTGTGGTAGTGCCTGCTATCAAAAGAAGCGAGCCTTCTTGGCCGATATCGTGGACCTGTCGATTGCTATTATTCGAGAATAACAAAAGCATGCACATGTTTGCATCGTTTATCAGTACCTCAAAGAAAGTTAACCAAGGATTATACATGTTTTGCTTCAGAGCTCCTGTATGTACCTTCGTCCTTCACAGGGATATTATATGCATCTGTCAACTTTCCATTTTGCTACTTTGCTACTGTACATTCTTGTTTTAAACCAAAAACTTGGACACTTTGTGAATCTCAATTTCACTGAAGATATTTAATTGATACAAAAGGCGGCGGTACAAATTAAAGATCATATCACTGCATGTACAACTA